CGCCAGCAAAGCTCCAGATGAATCTACTATCGAAGCCATGGAGGAGTTCTCCAGGGAGGAATATGCTGTGAATGGGATTACTCAAATTAAGTTCCATGACCACTATCCCATCTCAAGAGTAAAATAGCAATCGAGGCTAAGATCATACCGCACCCAGTAATGCTTTTTCCTCCGGCGGAAGTAAACTTCTGGGTTACGTTTCATCACCTCCTCATAGTACTCTTGCAAAATACCCTCCCTCATTCCGCTACTGCTCCACGGATAGAACGCCAGAGCAAATTCTTCTGGCATCTCCACGAATTGGAGACTCTTGAGGAGGGTGAGGCCGCGGATGACAACCAGTAATGATTGCCACTCCAAGTGCTTGCATCGGTCAATGATGAGACTCTGAAGGCAAGGCATTGCCTGACTATTCATCAGCACAAATCTCAGATTTTCCAGATGGGTGAGGTACAATTTCTTGAGCTTCGGGAACCCTCCATCTCCAATGTCCAATGTTTCCCCATCAAAGGCCTCAATCAGATCAAGATCCAAGAGATTGGGCAAATTCTGGAGCACAACTAGGGGGCTAGATTTCAATCTGCTCCATGCCAAACGCACACTGGCCAGATTGTTCAGCAGAGGAAGCCAATGAGGCAGCTTCTTTAGACATCCTCTGATATTTAGAGTCCGAAGGAGCGGGGGAGGTGAAGATAGAAAGTCCAAATCAATAACTTCGGACTTACTTTCTGCAAACACCTCTAGCGATCGAAGGTGGGTCATCTTCTCGAGGGAGTGGCATAGTTCCTCTGCATCATCTTTCTTCAGGTCTTTTACACCCAGCCTCCTTAGTTGAACTAACTCTCCAATTTCTTGCATTGTATTCTTGCTCCGACCACCTCCAGCTTTTACGCAATACAATTTCTGCAGTCATGTTAGTGCTCCAATGCCCTGGGGAGCTGAAAATCCCTTTCTAGCACTCAAGGCTAGAGAAGGTGTGATTTCTCCATCACGATACACCAACAAATGCCGTAGTTTCTTGAGCTTGGTTATCTCCATAGGCAGCTCAGAAACCAACGTGTGTTTAAGATCCAGAGTCTCTAGATTTTGGAGTTCTCCAATTGACTGAGGAATGATGTGCACGTTGGTGCTTCTCAAACTTAGATACTTCAAGTGGAACAGAACTGGTTTTTGTTGGGGGAACTTGTGAAGGCATGAACCTCTCAGATCTAACACCCTCAGCAGCTTAGAGCCACTTGGGACGAATTGCTCATCCGAGCTTGACATTTTTCCTGACTCAAAAATGAGCAGAGAGCGTAGGCTGGGGAGATTTAGCTGGTTCAGTGCGTTGTTGCAGGTGTATTGGACCGACAGACGCCGGACTCTTTTGTGCAATTCTGTTTTCTGCTCAGATGCAAACGAAATAAAGTTTTCGTCCCTTAACTTAGAAAGGATACTTTCACGCATTAGGTCATGTACCCTACAACTTCTTAGCCTTCCGTCTAAATTAGTTTCTGCAATTTGCACCAAACTTCTATTTATAAGCTCCTTCAGGTATCTTTCAGCAACCTCCTCCTGTGTCATCCCTTCTCTTTCCTCAACAAATCCTTCTGCAATCCACAGACGGATGAGCCTCATACACTCAATCTCATGATCCTCTGCTGCATTGATGATTCTTGCCGACAACAGCGCTTGGTCATTCATGGACTTGGCAATTTGCTACACGTGACTGGTCAACTCACGACCTAGTCAACAGTGGATGCGACACAAAATATCTCACAAGGTAAATTTACAAGCATACAGCCGCGGTAGTAACCCCGTACGGATTAGTAATTGTTAATTCTCTTGATCATCCTAGTAGTTCCAACCAAAATAAGGAGAACCGCAGAGGCATTCTAGTTTACAAGGAAGACTATTTGATCTCTTTATAATGCCCATCCCACTGGGGTACTATTTTATGAGATTTGCACCGCAAGAACTTGAGGACCGGTATGAATTTCACACAAGACCTGCTGAATTAAGGCGCATTACAAAACACCTGTACATAATGGCGATAGGTGGAGATATTGCAAATGGATCAATTCGACCGAACCTGATGTCACTGTGATATGTGGTCGGGTCTCTTTTATCTATTGGCTCGCCAATTAATTTGGAAGAGTTCCATGCCACACACACAAACACACACGAGGAAGTGAATTGGACGTAGTCTTAATTGATTGAATGAGTAGTAGTTTTCATGACTGCGGTGCGAGCCATCTGCTCAAAGTGACGGCAGTTGTGGTGAATACGTGATGTTCTTGTCTCTACTGGTAGGACTGACCATCGGCGGAGGCGGCGACAACCTTGTGGCTAAGTAGCACCGACACCGACACGAGACACGCGACACGACACGACACGACACGACCCGCCGACACGTCATTTCTCAAAAAATAGAAAATTATAACATGTTAGGACACGTTGTATATTAAATGTATATTTTTATTTATACATAATAAATTATCATTTTTATGATTATTTCAATCAAATTAATTTGATTTAAATCCACAAATAAATAATAAAAAAAGAATGTCGGACGAGTGTCGGTGTCTGACACGTCCGACACAGAGGCCTCCGAAGAGTGTTTGTGCTTCCTAGCCTCACGGTGACCCTGATCATGGCATGCTTGAGCTCGTATGAACCCGCAAAGGAAACTCTTCTTGCAGATTGCGTTGATGCCCCCGGCAGGAGCTTCTCTTGGAGAGGCTTTGCCCGTGAACATGGCAAGCAGAAGTAGGTCATGAATCATCAAGCGAGCCATTGACGAACCATGTGACCCATTTTAGAGTGTTGCCTATAGTTTTATGCATAGAGCTAGCAGATGTAATGTTCCACTTCTTAATATAGCAGTTAAGATATGATATATATAAATAAAAATGTGCAAATTAGTAATATGTGTTTGATTAATTTAGATTATTACATGTAAGGAGGGAAGATCAACAGAGAGACATGCACGAGGTAGTGGGACAATTACAAAAAAAATTATAAACCTACTGTCCATATGTCAATTCAATTTTAAACCTGTCAATTTGGATAATTTAGTCATAAACCTTTGGAAGATTTACCAATATAGTCATTCTGATTAATTTTAGCCGAAAATTGCTAATGTGGACGTTAGCCGGCTAGCCTTCCTACGCGGCACGACTGATATTGACATGACATTCTATTTTTCCTTTTTTCCATCTTCCTTTGACGGTCGCTAAGGCTTGATGATGAATCGGTGACCAACCACAAGTGAAGGCCGGCAAGGCTCGCCCTCATTGGATCTCACCATCGCCGAAGCCCGGCGATCGGTGGAGGAAAAAGGAAAAAAAGAAAAATGATAAAGAAAAAGAATTCATAAAAACAATAATAAAAATATCCACATCAACTATCAATAGAGTTACGTACGACGGTTGGCATCAACGTTAACAATTTCTGATCAATTTTGATGGGAAAGACTATATTGGCAAATTATGAAAAAGTTTAGGACTAAGTTGGCCAAATTAAAAGGTTTAGAACTGAATGAACATCCGTATATTAAATTTAGGACTTTTTTGGTAAATTTCTTAAAAAAGGTTGACTGGGCGTACTTGATTGGGTCAAATTATTTGCATTACCTATGAGAGGTTGGCATTTGGTATCAAGAACTCGGGAAAAAAATGAGAAAAGCAAATCGGTTTATGATGGGGGGTCGAATGGGAACCTAAATCTAAACACCACACAATAATTCTAACGTTCAATACTCACCAAAACCAAAGTTGTATTGTTCATACATAGGAACTAGGAAAGACTAATAGTGTGCACAACATATAAAAGAGCTTAAATCAAACCGATGATGTTTTTATTTGGTGTGGCCGGTCCATAAACTTAATTTTGTCTTAGTCAGGTCATTTAGGATTTAGTTTGACCTTGCAAAAATCAAATGAAGATATCATCCGAATATAATGTCAAAGTTTATGTTATCTAAACAAGTTTCGTTTCCCTTCATTACCATAAATTTGACTGAAAAAAGACTTAAATGTACAGAGACTGGTTCACATATTTGGTCTATTCAACGACTTTTTAGACTGCCAAAAGGTCCTTGAAACACATTTCTTAGTAAATAAGTTGTTTAAACTTCCGAACATAGAAAATGGGAGGCGCATTTTTTTTGTTCTTTACCAAACAAATAGTAAAGCTGATTTTGCTGAGACAAGATAGTTTGGTGGTGCCACCTCTACACCGGGCACACTCTTCCAATATCGCATAACAAGAAGGTTCTTAAATAGACTCAATCTATATAGATTAATGTAATCATAAACATTAATAAGCATGATCATAAAAATTTCTTATGTTGATCCATATAGCCGATTTATTATAGGAGTTCAACACCCGCGATGGAGTCATAACTACTACTCATTTGAGCCGGTCCATTGTCGTCGATTCACCCCGGTGCTAGTATGAGTATCACCAGGCATTATCTTATGTCATAGCACGGTTGGACCTACATTGCAAGCGAACTAAGGCTTTTCGAAGTTGAGGAGCGATCAAAGAATTGGAACCCGTATCTAGAATGACTCCAAACTATTTGGGAATAAGCCCCGTATCACCAAACCAACCACCATGGTAGTCCTTTCTCGTCAAATTTCTCAACAAGCTTGAGTAGAATTGTGGAGTTGTATGCCCTTTTCAAACCCAAATCTTGTTAGGCTATCAAGGAGCTTCAAGATAGGAACTTTAGGACAGTTTCGGTGAAGTCGACTCTCTGAATAATTTAGCTTATACTATATTTGTCAAGCTCAAGATCATCCACTTTGCTGTAAAATATGCCACATTTCTGCAGGATTGTTAAATTCGCCATGTCGCCTACTTGCTTTCAAGATTATCTTTTCATTTTGCCAAGCTATCAAGGCTAAATTTGAGAATGATTAAGTGGGTCGAAACTTGAAGTCTTGAATTTCAAGAAACAAGACATAAAATAGATGCTTAGGCCATTTTGCCATCTATTCTGTATCCATAGGTTCTTCAACTTCGGAATTTTTTTAATTTTTAATATATCTTTGCAATTGGTAAGCAAACCCAGATTCACCAATTAAGACAAGGAGAAAGAAAACCAAAACGCCGAACGTACAAATCAGCGGCTCGTCGCAGAAAGTTCGCCCGGAAATCTTTCCGTTGGATTCTCGAGAAAATCACGCAGCCCCGAGCAAAACCCAGAATTTTGTTTCGTCGAAAGAGGAAGGAGAACGGCGATGCAGAGTCGGAACCAGGGGAATTACCGGAACCCGTGCCTGACGATGCACCAGCCATGGGCTTCTTTGCTCGTGTACGGGATCAAGCGCATCGAGGGCAGGTCCTGGCCTGCCCCAATTCGAGGTTCGGTTCTCGGACTCCCTTTCATACTTCTAATATTGCGCCGAAGTTCCGACTTTTTTGTTCTTTCTGCTGTTACTTAGTCTGAAACGAGAAAGGAGTGAATTTGTTCGTGGAGCCCTTTGAGCTACTGATTTGATCTGTTCGCGGTGTTTTCGTATCTGGGTTCTTGAAGTTTTCAGTGGTTGTTTAGTTTTCTATGACCAAGTTCTGTTTGTGGTTTGTGGAGTTCAAAGGATGAAGTGAATGGTGAGAGAACCTGCCGAGACTGGAAGGGAGAAAAAGGTTAACTACTGATATTGAACATTGTTTGCTCATAGCACTTGAGAAAGAGAGGAGGGCATTTTGTTTGTCGCAAAATCTGTGCTTGACTTTCGTCGACCAGTTTGTGCGGCACCAATGTTTTCATCATGCTCCACAAGTTTATAGAAAACTGCCTGGTTGGATTGCATAGAAATAACAGCAAGAACAAATTGAAAACCAATATGTGGACCGATATGAACGAGGTTGTGTGTTTATTGAAAATGTTGGAACATAAAGTTCTCATCACAAGCAAGTGCAAATCAACTGTGTTAGAAGTTGCTAAGGGATGACTTACTGTTGCTGAAAGTTTGTGTAACTGAGAATGGAATGATGTGGCCCAACTTTAATACCTAGCACATACTGTCTGGGGCAGTGAAAGATACGAAGTACAAACGTCTTGCGCGTGCATTAAGATAGCCTTGAGAAAGTTAGAATGTTACTCTCAGCTCATATAATCAATTCTTTGTTGACAAATATTATGTTAAACTTTGAGTATGGAAGTTCAGAAAGTCTATGCGCAAAGCTGTGATCTAGCAAGTACTGTCAACGTCTTGTTGAAGAAGTTTTGAATATCCTTTTCCCTTTCCTTTTCCTTTTCCTTTTCGAGGATCTCTGACTATATAGCACATCATTTGTGAAGGCCGCCTTTGGATCCACGCCGCCAGCAAAGTTCCAGATGAATCCACTATCAAAGCTATGGAGCAGTTCTACAGGGAGATTTATGCGGTGAATGGGATTACTGAAATTAAGTTCCCTGAGCACTATCCCGTCTCAAGACTACTAGGTATTCGAAGGGAGAGCCTATTATGCTGCAACTAGCATACTTGGACTTTCGTTTTTTTGAAAGAGCACTTAAGCCTCCTATTTACAAGTTCTTGAAAATTCAAATCATCTTCTGATGGATTTCCCAGATAAATAGCAGTTTTATGTATGTCTTGATAGAAAAAAGTGTAGATATGGATTGCTTTTATTGCTCCATTTCACCCGCATTAATTTCTGTTTTATCTAAGCTCTTTGTTGGGCAAAGTTTCTAACAGTAGATTCTGCATCATAGAACGGGTGTTCGTCTTTTTCAGACAAATGCATTGACAGTTGGAATGTTTTGCCTATGAAAAAGGGTGTGTCGAAGTGGTTGGCTGTGTCCGAGGTGAAGAGCTAGCTAGTTGGGATGGGGTGCCTGAAGGGGTGGGACACACTGATCTTTTGCTTGCTTTGTTTCTTGAATACCTATCTGATTTCACAAATTAAGTTGAACGTGTTAAAATTTTTTAATTACAGGTAAGGCTGGAAGCACTAACAGATTATTGCTGGCTCTGTGAACAGCCACAGGTGTGTAAATCTGTCCTATTCGCAATCGGTACTTTGTTCTCACATATGTTTGTTCACCATTTATGTATTTCCCACACTGATTCGACTTTGTTGATATATTTTAAGTAATACAGAAATTAGTCATTCCTTTCGAGATGCGAGGGTACCAGAAGATTTACAACTTAGAAAAGAAGGTAAAGGATTTGGCTACGTAAATTATCATCTTATGCACGACATTGTACATATGCTGACAAATGAACTTTTCACAGATATACGAAGCTGCAGCCAGAGGGCTTACTAAAGTGGAAAGTCCACTGCTCGTGAAGTTTCCGCTTCCAAATCCACGTGATCTTTTTTCATTGAAGCCAGGTTCCCTATTACTAAATGTGTCTGAATCTAAACAAAGTGAACCAGGGAAATCATCGAGTCTCAGTGCTGCCATAGCTGGTGCTCGAGCTGCTGCCACTCAGTTTTCAAAGAACCAAAATCATAGTACATCTTATTCGACAAGAACGAGTGCGATGGATAGTGACACCTTGCAGAAGGTTGAGACGGCATCATCTGATTTGGAAGAAGTTTCAATTGACAGTACTCCTAGGGATAATGAGAAGGAGTTTAGTGGCTACAATCAAACATTAACAGGAGAGCGGAAGCAGCAGGCCGGGCCTTCTTCAAAGGTGCGGTGATTCTCCTTCTGAATACTTGCTTCTTATAATAATTGTTAGTTTTCTATTTAGGCAGTTACTTCGAGTGGGCAATGTAGTTATTTCACAAAGGTAATGAGAAGATAGTTGACGTTTTATAGGTTTGCTGCAAAATGATATAGGGGCTATGGCCATTCACATTCTGATTTTCATGAAACCAGGACTAGCTATGAGCTCGCTGATCAAGTGTAAATTACGGGCGCAATTGTTTTGCAAAAAATAAATGATTTGGAAAATATTTTTCTAAAAATAATTGCCTGTATCGCTTACGAAAATGAACTAATGAAGAAAATATTCATCGTCCACATAAATTTTTAGATATAAATTGTTGTCGATAATGAAATTTTTTTATTGACTAATTATTTCAAGCTATGCAAGTGATTATTTTTAGGAAAATATTTTTCAAATCATTTATTTTTCGCGAAACAAACGGAGCCTACAATTTGGTCATGAGATTCGCAACTTTGGCCGGTTGGAAGGATCTCATAATTCAATCTTGGTGCGTGACTGTTGACTTGGGTTCTTCCTGCTTTTGATGTACATGGAGTGCATCAGACTAATTTTCAACTTCCTTGCTTCCTGTTATGAATCAACCATTTCCGCTGACTTACAGTCTTTTACTTACTAGATTTTTGCTGAAGCTGTGCGGGCATTGAAGTCTTCATGAACATACTATTCATACTAATTCCTAGTGTGGGTTCGAGGTTGAACTGTTGGGTGCCGAGAACGAACGTGCATTGAAACATGGTTCGCGGGGGTTCTAATACATCTTTTCGTGAAGTCATATAATAAGATTCGGATGCCCTCATGTCATCCCGCCTCTTTGTTTTAATAATCATGTACAGGCCGTCATTTTATCGATCGAGCTAGGTGTATCGTGAGTGTTTCTATAGGTGATGCTGACAATTACTTCCTTGGTTCTATAATAGTGTACTATTCGCTGTGTGATTATGGTAATGGATTTCATATTCCTTCGTGGAACTCTTTTTAGATTTCATCTCGAGATATTCCTTTCCTATATTTTGCATTTTGATTGCTCATAAGCATGTCTTAGCAAGAACATCATGGATACTGTATAATAATTGTTTATGTGTTACGTTTCCTATGCAGTGAAGATTGTATTGCAAAACTAGTTCACAAAATGACTCTTACAAACTCTTGTTGTGGGCTTATAAACAATCCACTATTTTTAATACCCATTTATGGTCTGTTGCACCCCTGTTGTTTATTAGGGATGAGCGGTCCCAAGTTCCATCTAGAACTTGGAACCGATCCTGGAGAATTGATTTTTCATTTTTTAAAACCCGAAACCTATCTTACATACCCTAAAACCTGTAAGGCTTGTATTATTAATTGAACAATTGTAGTGAATCATTATATTTAATGATCATCACTTGCTATTATGATTAACTGACAACAATTTATATTTAGACATACGAAGAATATGAAACATTAACAAGTCATAAAATGAAAGCTCAAAATAGCGATTTTAGATTATATGTTCATAATTTAATGCCGTGGAACACCGCAGAATCACGTGAAGACATAGACTAAGAAAAATACAAAAAACTTGTTTAAGGTTTCCACTTATCTAGAACCTATCCATAGAAATAATTTTCTCAATTTTTGAAACCTAAAACTTACCTTATATATCTTGAAATCTGAAACCTATAAATTTTCATTGGTCAGATTTTTATGTTCCAAAATATTATATCCTGGAATCATGCTCCCCTCTATTGTTTTAATCAGTCTTCTGACACTTGGCATTATGACTACTTCTCTTGGTTGACTAGACAACAACGGAATACTCTATCAATAGGCGGGTCAGAGTTCCCGATCTGTGTGCATTTCAAAACGTTTATATCAACCAGCTGGCTACCAACATATGTTGACATTTTGGCCTCGAAACTTCAAAAGCATTGACCAACTGCAGATTTGGTTCCCATCTGGTTCAGCCTTTCTTCAGAAGCCATGCTCTATAAAAGCAGCATCGGTGCATCATCTGTCTTACCAGTTAACGAACTCGACATCCACAAAAATGGGTCTCGTTTCAAAGTTGCTTGCTTTCATGTTGATCCACCAGTTGCTTGTATCGCCAGTCTTATCTGATGGTTCAATTGGCTCACACCATCTTCCTCATGAGTTGAGGTTGTTGCCTATTAGGGTCACAAGAAGGTCTCCTCCGCCACCTCCTAGGGTGAATGCTCCCATCCATTTCAAAAGTCCTCCTCCTAGACCAATGGGTCCGCCGCCTCCTCCGCCACTTTGGCCTCCACCACCGTCACCATGCAGCTAGTCAGATAGAAGCAATCGCCTTACCGATTCCTACCATTTTCCTCACACTTGCTGTAGAAGTTTGTGACTCCATTTCCAGATTATTTGGTTCTGTGGTGATACGTGTATTTGAATGTAAGAGAACATATATGAATATAAAGGGTTGAAGAAAACAGTTCACTGCCCTGTCATTGTTCGAAGTTAATACGATCTCAATTTACGAGTATTAGCTTAAACTTTTGGGTATGGAAACTGTCATAGATATCCATAGTATTTTCATCAAGAACCTCTTTAGTTGCAGAGCCAAACAAGATCCAAGACCAATTGCGGATCTAGGTTCCTGCATCTGTTTCCTTTTCCCCTTTTGCTGCTGAGCGTTTGGGTTGTATGCTTGTATCTAATTAATGTTGATCGATTGGTTCTACCAAGAGACCCCAAGAAATCTGCCATTTTTCTCCTCAGGAGCATTGACTAACTTTTCGGAATAGTAGGTTGGTACTGAGATTGATATGCATAACTAGATTAATAAATGACGGGGCACATTCATCCCATGGGCTATTTAAAACAGCAGTGAATGCTTCATCTGCCTTCGTCTAACAGATCCAAACGCCATGGGGGCCATTCTAAAGTCTCTTGCTCTCATCCTGATCCTCCAGTTGCTTGTATCCGCAACTTCATCTGATGATGACTCGAGGGATCATCAGTTGAATGTGGTGTTGCCAGATCGGGTCATCAGAAGATCTCCTCCACCACCTCCCAAGGTAATGGCCGTGTCCATTTCAAAAGGCCTCCTACTCCACCTCCGCCTCCACCTCCGCCTCCACCATCATGCAGCTAGTGATACCACCAACATCACATTCTTGATTCCTGGTTCTTCTTTTTTCATCTCAGACTAGATGTACTTGAATGTAAAATAACTCTGAGCAAAATGTTAGCGCAATATCAATCTTGTAGTTCTGCAATTTCGTCTGCTTTTTTTCTCTCATTCGTGTCAAGATTTTGATTTGAGTCATTTTTATCAACTGTCTGGACACCCGTGGATTATGTTAAAAGCTTCAGAGTTTAGAGGACGAAAAGGATTTTATCTCAACTATCCGCCCAGCCCAAATTTTTCTTTTGTTCGCTAAGCTCGCCGATTTGTCCTCCGGGTAAGGCATCAAACACACATAGACTACATACTACACCACGCGTCACTCACACGATCCCGTGAAATGAACTTCTTCCAAATTTTAAACGCAAGTTGGCCTTCTACTCCTTATTCAGACAGCATCAAGAACCAGCGGATTAATACATTTTACTCCATATTCAGACAGCATCAAGAACCAGCGGATTAATGAATTTCCAGAGATGTTATTACATGTCGAATTTCATACGTGTGTGTAAAGAGGTATACCCCCTCCTGATGAATAAAGGGAAAACTGAAGTGCTACAGGGATGATCTGCCAATTGAACAAGTCTCATATTTTAGACAACAACAGAGGAAACATCAAAAGAGGGCTCCTCCCAAAAATCCAAAATGGGCAATTTATAAAAAAAACCCATTTCAACCTGAAAAGTTCATGTTCAAACTGCGTTCATGTTCGACCATAGTCTCAAATCGAACCGGGTTGTATGTTGATCTGTATCAATATTTGTAGATCGACACACTTCTCATGTTCATGCTGTTGCCTTTCACTCCCAATCGTCATCACTCAATTGATCCTCAATCTCTTCTCTTGGTGGCCTCACCACCAACACCACTGTCCCTAGGCTCTCCCCAACCCCCATCTCCTTCAATCTCCACCCCCGCTCCACCTTCAATCCGTAGCCGCCGCCGCCGCCGCCATCGGCATCAGCATCCGCCGCCACCATATAAAAACCTTCGTCCTCGACCACCTCTTTCCTCCCCCTGTCAGCAACAACCAAGATGGCCTCGTCCTTGTACCACCTATTCACCTTCCACGGCAACACCCTCGCGTCCGGGAATGCCACCACCACTCCGCCGGACATTCCCAACACCGACTCCCATCCCGGCAGAGCCACCCACCTCGCCCACCCTTTCTCCGCCGCCACCACCCCGAACTCCCCTTGGCTCTTGCACCCCCACGGCGCCTCCAAGATCTCCCTTTCCCTCTCCTCCGCCCGACAGACCGGCAACACCACCACGGAGCTCGCCTCCGCCACCTCCCCCATCTTCATCCTCACCACCGGTACCCGAACCCCACCCTGCACTTCCCGTTCTTTTCCATCCCCTTCTCCGCCTTTCCCTTCCAATTCCTCCAGGATCACGCCTTTCGCTTTCTCCGTCTCCGCCGCGGTCAGCGCCTGCTCCAATGCCGACGTCCTCTGCTCCGACGGGTTCCTATGCTCCCTACTCTGCCTATAATACATGAACGACAAGCAGTCTCCGGGCAATTTATACTCGAACTTCTCCCACCCCTTATCCCCGCGCCGGCGAGGGAAGTCCTTCATGGCGCGGGCGAGATCCTGCGCGCCCTTCGCGTCGAACTTATTCCTAACTATGAATTCCGCCGCAGCGGACCGCTGCGCGGCACTCAGGAGCCGGATTTCGTAGAGGAGCTCGGCGCCGCCCAAGTCGAAGGCGGCGACGACATCGGGGTCGGTTTGGGATTGGATCAAGGAGTCCCTGACCTTGGCGGCGACGACGAGGCGGTTCTGCTCGACGCCGGAGAGGCCGGTGACCTCCTCGATGGAGGGAGGGGTGAAGCCCTCCTGGATGAGGGAGGGGATGAGTGGGGCGTACTCGAACCAGAGGCCGAGGCGGTTGGCGAGGATGTCGAGGCGGCCGGCGGTGTCGAGGGAGCGGAACTGGGAGGGGAGCGGGGAGGGGGGAGGGCGGAAGGGCTGGTAGACACGCTGCTGCTGCGGCGGAGGGGAGGCCGGGATTAGAGGGCTCGGGTTGAGGCTGGCGGAGATGGGCCTCGGGCCGGCCGAGTGGTGGTGGTGGGGGTGGTGGAGGAAAGGGGAAGTGAGGGGCTTAAGGGTGGTGGTGGTGGTGGTGGGGTTGAAGAATTGGTGGTGGTGGTGGGTGTGGGTGGTGTTGATGAGGGCTAGAGAGAGCATGGTGGAGGCGGCGGCGGCGGTGGCGGCGGCGGGAGGCGGTGGTGCAGTGAGGGTGGAGGAGGGTCACTGTGAGTCTTCAGTGAAACCTTATCTGAACTGAAATTGAATGATGGCTTTTGATATTTTTCTTGTAGGAGATGGAAGAGGAAGAAGGAGAAGTCCAAAGTTGGCTTGATCTCAAATGCTCAAATCAAAAGAAACAGGCTTCTTCTGCTTTGGGAGTTCAATGGGCCACACAGAGCCCAGATTAAGAAATTTCTTTGGTGAATTTCCCCTCTTCACATTCGCATTCGCATTCTCCTTTTCCTTTTCTCTTTCTTTTCTAATCTAATCTTCCATCAACTCTTCCAATTTTCCTTTTGGAATCCCAACTTATGTTCAATTGAATCCGTTAGGAATTTAAGTATCATTTTACCTCAAAGTAGCAGGGCTAACCCGAGGGGGTTGGTGGTGGCTGTCGCCACTGGCGACGACTTGCGGGTTTTAGGTTTAAATTGCAATAATCTTCGAGTTTTCACGTAAAGTGAAGATTTTTACTAAATTATAGTTCTCGTAGTCTGTGCAATAGTTCTAGCTATGGAGGAGGCGCACCTAAGCTCTTTCCGGTTGAGTTGGATAGAAGCAATCTTTCTAGGATCGAAGGAATCGGGAGCTCTTTCTTTCTGAATTGTTTTTGAGTTTTTTTTGGGTCTTCAGTGTCGACCCGAAATGTTCTTCCTTTTGACTTGGCAATGTAAAGTCCTTCGAAATGAGCTCAAGAAGTGTCAGATATGTGTGCAAGTTAAAAGGAGAAATGTATGGCTTAAAGCGGGCGTCCAGACAATAGTACCTTAGATTTATTTCATCAAGCCATCTTAGCATATGGGTGTACGTTGATAAAGAAGGGCTATTGTGTTTATGCAAAAGGGTCCAACGGTAGTTTCGTGCTCCTTTTTTTCGTTTTTAATATTGATGACGTAGGTTGAAAATAACAAGGATTATCCTACTAATCAATGCAAAGTTTGATGGGGATCAAATGGATGTTCATGTATCTTCATCTTTGAAGGCTCGAGCGGAGGCTCGTTTCTTATGTTTTCTCATATGAATCTCTTGTCTCCAACTATTGGGGATCCCATTTCCGGACCAGTTGTTGTCCTCTGGCTTTGAGATGAAGGACATGGGTGAAGCTAGCTATCTACTTGGTGTCAAGATTGTCGAAGATAGATTTAATAAACTTCTTATTTTGTCTCAAGACTTAGATCAAGAAGCTGTTTGAACGATACCGAATGCATGCGCAACCGTGAATCTACAGAGACTCCCGTGGAAAAAGAACGGGGGACTAGGGGTATGCAAAACGAACCACCAAAACTGGGAACCACCCGAACCAGATCGAACCAGCCGGTTGGGTCCGGTTTCCAAGAGTGTCAATTTGATTCCCGATTCCTAAAAGTGAAACTAGTGTCCGGGCAGTCCAATTCCCAGTTCTAAGGGAGAATCGAATGGACTATGTATACTTTTGTTTTTCAAAAAAATTAAACCCTAAGTAAACTTTATTAATAATAATTAGTAAAATGTGAACTGAACCCTAAGTGAATTTCGTTAATGGACCGGACCGGAACTGGACTAGACTAGTGGTCCGGATCAGGAACAGATCACCTCTCTGCGGGATTAAATTAACCCTTGAAGTGCACGTGCAATTCTCATTAGGGTTTGCGTTGGTGATGTAATTGGTGACATGACATTTACATGCATGCGTTTGCTCCTTAATCAAATTTGCTTCTTCTCTCTGTTCAACCATATGAGGCAACCAGCACATGTGAAGTGAAGACTGTCGGTTTGAAGAAAGGTCTTCAAAGCTAGCTGAAAGCCCTCACTAAGAGCTTTCTTACATCACCCCCGGTGTAAGCTTTGACCAATCCTTCTCTCTTTGAATATTGAACTTCTGAAAGACTTTCATTTGCTTCTGGAACTTTTCTGTTGAACCCACCGAAAAAATATGTTTTGGAGGACCAACCCTTTTAACCGGAGACGGCCCACATCATATTATATTTTATTATAGACTATGGTTTGTATTATTATATCTAACTCTAGCCGCATAGCATCATTATTAGCCCAAGGCCCCCCGTGTTGCCCTTATTATATGCATTTCTTGACCAACTCTTTAGGACCTGAGCACTGGAGGATAATTATAAGAGCCAGTGATTGTTATTGGGTACAAGGACACGAGCCACTTTCTTTGCATAGTATTGGCACTTGTTTAACTTAATCGTTTCTTGAAATGAACTTCTTTCTAAAATTTTGCTATTGACATGGAGTTTGAGCAGCCATCCCAGATATGAATCCTTGAGCAAACGGAGTCACTTGATGTACTTCACCACTAGGAAAGTGCCGTATTCACCGCTTTGAATATCAATTGGGTGATTGAAGACTATTTTGTCGCTTTAACGAAGATGGAGTGGATTTGATCCGGAAATAGCCTCACCCAAAAGCTTACCATGTGTTTCGGAGTTTCTTGAATTATAGATATTTATTCTTTTTGGTCTTTGCATTTGGACCCATTATGACTTTTCTTTTATATCAAACACTTTTAATCTTTCCGACACATAGACACGACCATTTCGACTCATTTATAACCTTATCAGTATTGTCCTAAAGTTAAAAAAATCCGAGCACTGATGTTGATATGTAATTGTCCCGAACATAACACCCCTAAGTGAAAAATAGCAATACCCCTGACATTGCCCTTGAATTCCTACAAGGATGACTAATGAGATTCAAGAATTAGATGGATATCACACTGCTTTATTCTGATATTATGAAAACGCGAACTGAACCATAATAGTATGAAAGGGCTTTTGGTTTGGTCTTCCAATGCATTGCCAGGTCAAAGTTTGCCATGCAGACTATAGCATCATTCGCTCATATTGTCACTGTTGCTAGTTGCTTTTGGCTAAAGTAGAAGCATCAGTGCCTTTCAAGATTTAATAATAGCCTTCTAGACTACTCACCAAACAATGTCTTGCTTGCACCATGTTTCATAAAGAAAGGAAACAAAAAGATCGATCGAGATTTGAGTCATTTGACGACGGACATCTTTTATCGCTTATGATTAAAGAATACAAATGCCACGAGGGCTATATTCTGTAGCTGGAATGTGTTGACAATCAAGTGCTTTGCTGCTGAACTAATGACCTCTTCTGACCAAAAAGAAAAACTAATGACCTCTATCTGTGCTTCATGATAAATCCAGAGTGAAATAGCTTGAGTCTAATTAGCAAAGAGATTATGGTAAAATGGATGATTTCTAGACCCGATGGCGGAACGGACACTGAAAATAAAAATAATTATAATAATAAAATATATTTGATCGAGGATTAATTAGTCGCACGAGACAGACGTGCGTAATGACGGTCAATGCTAACCCTGATTAATCAAAAGATATAATAAAATATATTCCTCACATTGGGGTCTCTCCCAAACTTATCGTACGAGGTGATTTAAACACAACTTGAAAGGTTGTACTTATCCATGGACCTATTGAGCATGGATACCTACCTCATTATAAAATAGGATTGATTATGTTGGAGAAAGGAGAAAACAGTAATCAATAGAAAAGAAACAAAGGAAAACTATGTTTTTTTATTGCCTAAGTTCGACATATCTTGTGTGAAAAGACTTGCAAGCTAATAGCATTTTGATAGAGCAGCGGTGACGAGTACACCAATTGTAAATGATACGAAATAGTTACGATTCAAATCAAATATTTTGTAATGAGTGCAAGACGTTTATTATAACGTCTGAAGGAGCTCAACAGCATTGGCCGTCCCTCCTCACCATTTCGCCAAGCCCAGGCATAACCTCTTTCCACCATCTATCATGCAAAAAATGAGGGCACAATTATTGTTCTCATTATTTTCCGCTTTCTCACCTTTTGTCCATTTGGGTGAAACCAAGGACGTTGCAATAGAGAAAACCTCGGTATCATCATCGTCAAGGGACAAAGAAGTGATGGCACGTACCGATTCAACGTACCTCCCACTAGAGGCTTAAAAGGACTTGGCCCCATCTATTGCCCTTTCTTTGTCCTTCCTCAAATCTTTCCTAAATTCCTTTTCACCTTCCAACTCTCTTTCCCAACTTGCCATATGTTCTTCTCTCCTTTCATGGACTGGTTGATCCTCTTCAATGGAAACTATAAGCCCTGATGGCCAGTTTGAATATGGTCAGGCACAATATGTATTGGTAACGAAAGGAAGAGGCAAAGGGTGTGGTCAATAGTATTCCCGCATAAACCTTAGTCATTCCTTACAAATTCCTGAATCACGAGATGAATGATCTGCTTTTGACAAGACTGAAGAGGTGATATTCTTTCTATATTTGAAATCTAACTCAAGATACCATCTTATCACAACACAAAAAAAAATGAAAGTTGAAAAATGAGGCACGATGGCCTATACCAACTCATTGCAAAGTTTGAATTTCTAATTGAATTATTTACAAGATTGTCTCTCAAGATAGCCCAAATGATCGGAACGTACAGATCTCGGTGCTCAAATGAAGAGAAATGGTATGATCCTACAAAACTTGGAACTTTGCAATCAGTGATACTTGTTACTGAGTTCAATTTAAATCTAGGCTTTTTTTCACACTAAAGTGAAAAAAATGTGTAAGCTCACAAATAAATTCACCAAACTTCCCCTACTCATCCATCTGCATATATCCTTGACATAAGGATCAAATTCATCAAACCACGAAAAAGCTTCAAAAGCATCAAAGATCACAAAAGATTAGCCAAATGGGTGGTGTTTCTTCACTTAGAAGGGCCCTTCAAGAGCTTCAGAACTTCTCCCCATCCAAACTTCAGGCCATCGACTGACCAGGACACAGCAAGTGAGCAGTCTGACAAGTGGATCCGAAGCCACACAGGCAAGTCGTTGTCATCGGGAATCATCAGAATGATGTCACTTTGAATTCTCATCTGACTAAGGCCGCCATGCCCACGAGTGCCTTTGACTCACGTGTGCAAATTTTGATTTCGGGGGTTCTCATTAACGACCACACTTTCTAAAGAGTGCCCACCAAAGTTCATCCAATCTTGCCCTCTTTTCGATTCCCCCTATCACAATCTTCCATCAATTTAACTTTTCCTTTAATCATGTGAATTCACGTTTATTTTTGAATCCCACAGTGTTCCCTCCCTTCATGCCTATATATATAATTCACACGAGGCCACTACCTTCAACTTCATGTGACCATAGAAGCTCACTTTCTTGATATCTTCTTTTGATTGCTTGGTCAAAGAACTCATAGATTCAACATACACAGCATCATGGATTGGAATTCTTCTCTTTTCCAGTACCCAAGTTTATCAGAGTTCTCCACCGATTGCTCTTCCTTCAATTCCTCAGAATCTCACCACTTCTCACTTGATTACAACCCCAGTGCTTTCTTTGCCCCACCATCACTTCCTTTCAATGAGAATGACTCTGAAGAAATGCTCCTCTATGGAGTCCTTGCCACGGCCCGGGACTACTCCATGGACACCATCTCTTCCTCGCAAGGTGCTAGAGACCACGAGGAAGTGAACTCGAGGTCGGGAGATATCATCAACCTAGACGAGAACGAAAGCGAGCACGCTAGGGAGGCCGCATACCGGGGGGTGCGGCGCAGGCCATGGGGGAAGTATGCGGCAGAGATAAGGGACTCGACGAGGAATGGGGTCAGGGTCTGGCTCGGGACGTTTGACACGGCCGAGGAGGCCGCCCTCGCCTACGACCAGGCCGCGATTGCGATGAGGGGCCCACTTGCTGTGCTCAATTTCCCCCCGGAGGTGGTCTACAAGTCCCTCCAAGAAATGGAGGGTCAGGACAACGGTGTCGTTGGGCTTCAGGAGGGTGGCTCGCCGGTTCTTGCCCTCAAGAAGAGGCATTCCCTGAAGAGGAAGTCCGAGATGAAGAAGAAGAAAGAGAAGGAGCAGATGCTGAAGAATGTGGTGGTGCTGGAGGATCTTGGAGCTGCTTACTTGGAGGAGCTCCTCAAAGTATCTGAAGACCCTAGCCCTTGGTGATCCAAACTTTACTTTTAGTTTCACTAGCAAGAGTCCACGAGTTCTGTTCAATCAAAGGATTCCAGCTGAGGAGTAATTCTTAGATTTTTAATCTCCCTTCATCTTGTAAGCTTGATTGTGAATCTGGTTCTTCTTTGGATAAAGCTGAGATGAAGCTCATGATTGAGATGGTGGAGGAGGTACTAAAGTGGTATCTACTATTCTTGTGGGTCCTGTGATTTTTGTCAACAAGGACAAGGGGACACCTTTTCTTTTGTCTTTACATAGTATTTGTGGATGGTTATGATAATACAGGCTACTGCACATTGATTCTGACCGTTGTGACAGTTATACGACCATATTCGTGGTGGTGCTATCATCCGTTCTTGCGAATGGCTTTGGACCAAGGGAAAGATGGTCTTGAACAACAAGAATGAATCATCTGGTGAACAGTAATGGTCATTGCAATGCATTACTATGAAAAAAATAGAGCATACATCCGACCACGGAGGCAAGGGAGCAAGTAGGGATGCCCGGTGCCCACCCCCTCGCCCTGATCGCCTTTGGCGTAAAAAGAGCGTCTTGTCAATTTTCATCATTGTTTGATTGTTCTTTATTTGGTGTAAGGATCTTTCTCCTTCTGAAGAAAAATTTTGACATAAAAGGGAACTTTTGTATTAGATTCGAATATATGAACAAACCTAATAGATGTCTTTCAAAAACAAGAAATTTTATTCTTAATGAGAAATAGTAAACTTTTAACAATACCCTTTTTCTCTCCTTATTATTTTCTTCTTCAATTTTATAAATCACACGCCTTATCTTTCCACCCTAATCAATGGATCAAGGTACGCTGAGTTTATTGTCGCTTGTTATCTTACATTCGATGAGGGTCATTGTAAAATCAGTCGGTTCTTACGTTTCACTTTTTTTTTCAATTCCAAATTTCGGGACTCGCATAAACTTTTCGATTCTACTTAAAACAAAATTTCTCGGATCCATTCAAATATATGAAATATAGAGAACCGCATACAGTCTTTTTCTTCTTTTTAGCCGTTTGTGGAGGCGAATATGCCAAGAGCGGTTTTGGTCCTTGCATTGGAGCCAAAGTCACGAACTTGGACCGGTCAAAAGGCTTGTCACGCGAGGCTTATGAAATCAACCGTCTCCATCCTCATCGACGAGAAACATTGGACCGAGCCAACGAAGGAACCTCGGCTTCGGTCGGAAAGATCTAGGGCCACATAGGCGGAAAAGCGACGTCCTTTCTTGTCCCAAAGCCATCGAAACTTCTCAGACGTATGTGTCATTATTCTCCCGTATTCTCGTACCTTTATAAATGAAGTTTCGTGCCATCGAGACAAAAAATAAATGATGCAAAAGGAATAATATAATTGGTTCGTGAGAGCGGCGTCAAGGTGACTTGTATTAGGAATTTTAACTTAGAATGAATATATCCTCTGAAGGCAGAATTGGTCCCGTGCACAAACAGGTTGAAAGCTAATGTCGCTCTCCTAATGAGATCAGGACATGCCGAAATCAATTGTTATGCCTAAAGTGTTAGTACAATGATGCGATTTGACGTACTAGTCTTAGGAACAACTCTAAAATGAAGGCTGATCTGGGGTCTTCTCAACTTGCACGGGCTATTCCGTGGCCAAAAATCTGCCGGCCCGTGACACATGACCGAAACTGAACCAAGCAAACAGGAATGGTCCAATCTTGGTCGCACAGGCAAAGGGACTAGAACCCCAGATGAAGTTGCTCCAGCTAAATCGGGAAGAACAATCATCACGAGTCTCGATTCTTGTTTCGAGTCCAAGAACGATGATGTTCATGCGTGTCGGTGAGAGAGTGTCCAGGAAGCAATCCGGTGATAATAAAGGATGAATCTTCCATGAACGCAGCAGCAAAGACTTGGCTAAACTCACGGCTGCTTCATGGGAAAAGCAGACGCTTGCAGTTTCGCATCTCTCCGCCACTTCTTCGATGCTGTCCCGCTCAAAGATCTCACCTTTGCCACGCTCTGTTTTCCACGGTCGAACCCTCCGGCGTCTCGCGGGCGGCGCACCACCCTCACGATCGTTCCGTTGACCTCGACCGGACCGAGGGAGCGCACGCCTTCTTGATCAAGACCCACTTCACTCGTGCTCGTAGCCACACCGGCCGCGTTTCCGGGGCAGCTCATCAACCCCACTTGGATTCCGCGGCTCATGTCAAGTTTCTCGTGACGTCTTACGTCAAGAACAGCTCCCCTGAAGCTGCAATTAGCGTGTACGCATGCGCGCGCGAAGCTGGTTACGAATTAGACTGTTTCGCCATACCTTCGGTCCTTAAAGCCTGCGGGCAAGTTTCGTGCTTGCGGGTGGGAGAGGAGATTCACGGGTTCTCGGCGAAGTCTGGATTCGACGGCGATGTTTTCGTGCTCAATTCGATGGTTTTTATGTATGGGGAATGCGGGCATGTGGCACTCGCACGCTTTTTGTTCGATGAAATGCCCGACAGGGATGCCGTTTCCTGGAGCACGATGATTCGGTGCTACAGCCGCAATGGACTAGTTGAAAAAGCGTTAGAATTGGTGAAGGAAATGCACATTGCGAATGTAAAGCCTAATGAGGCTGCCTTGGTGAATATGGCCAATCTTTTCGCAGATTTGGGTAACGTCGAGATGGCGAAAGCTATGCATGCTTATGCAATAAGAACTGCTTCTGGCGGCTATTCTGATGAGAATATGGGAGTTATGCTAGGTACTGCTTTGATTGATATGCATGCCAAATGCAGAAACTTAGCTTCTGCGCATATGCTCTTTGACAGGTTGACTCAGAAGAACATTGTTGCATGGACTGTGATGATTTCAGGCTACATCCGATGTTGCAAATTAAGAGAAGGAGCTGATCTTTTCAAAACAATGCTTGAAGAAGGCCTTCTCCCGAATGAAGTAACATTGTTGAGTTTGATCATAGAGTGTGGATCTGTAAAAGCTTTGCAACTCGGCAAGCAGATACATGCCTATATCTCTAGACACCGTTTGGACATCTCTTTAGCTGTGTCCGCTGGTCTGATTGATATGTATGGAAGGTGCAGCAACACTAAATATGCTAGGGCACTCTTTGATCACATAGAGAACAGAGATTTCTTCACATGGTCAGCAATGGTTTCAGCTTATGCTCGAGCAGCACTCGTTGATCAAGCTTTCTATTGCTTTGTCCTAATGAGGGCCGAAGGGTTAAGTCCGGATAGCGAAATTATAGTCAACATCCTACTGGCGTGCACAGGCACTGGCGCGTTTGCCTGGGGCAGGCGGATCCATGCGTACCTCAGCAAGTGTGGCATGAATGATGTGATTCTCAAAACTGCACTTGTCGACATGTATGCTAAGTGTGGTGACGTAGTTGGGGCCCGCATTCTGTTCGATGAGGCAATTTATCGAGACATATGCATGTGGAATGCCATGATTGGCGGTTACGGAAAGCATGGTTTTGGAAAAGAGGCTCTGCAACTCTTCCGAGAAATGGAGGAATCGGGCATGAAGCCGAATGATATGACGTATATTGTAGTTTTGCAGGCTTGCAGTCATGCCGGGTTAGTAGCAGAAGGAAAGAGGGTTTTCCATGAATTGGTCAATAGCCGCATGTTGATTCCCAAAATTGAGCACTATGGATGTATAGTCGACCTTCTTGGTCGAGCTGGGTTGCTTGATGAGGCATATGAAGTGATCAAAAGCATGCCAATCAAACCCAACTATATTATATGGGGTGCTGTATATGCTGCCTCGCAGCTGTTTAAGAATTCTAAGATGGAGAAGTTGGCGTCCGAGCAGATTATAGAAATGGTACCTCGGAGTTCTGGTTATGATGTTCTTTCATCGAATATATTTGCCACTGCAAACAGATGGAGTGATGTAGAAGAGGACAGGAGAAGAATGATGAATTCCAGAATTAAGAAAGAAGCAGGTGTGAGCGTGATCGAAGTTGCCATCAGGGGTTGATGAGGGTGAAATGGGGAAGAAAAGGAAGCTTAAGTTGGGAACTTGGAACAAACTCCACCTGATAATTAGATCTATCCCTCTTCAGCAGGAAGTTATGGAAGCAATTGTAAAATTCTCATCCAAACAGTTGAGTGAATATTTAACCTGTCCCTAGAGTATGAATCTCAACCTGTAAAAGATGATTTTCGTAGTGTATCTACGTAAGTTGCATATGCAGATATACAATATAGATACCGATAAACCAGGGAATGAATCTGTAATATCTCTCTCTCCCTCCCTCTCTCTACTGTCCACGGTAAAATGTACATAAAATATACTACGTTGTGCGGGCCTCATCGAAACGGCGTGCATTTCTTTCAACATCTCACCTGTGACGCAAGCACGTGACAAAGGAAAATCAGTTCTGACGAGAGTTGATTGTCTATCCAGGTTGCATTGCACGAAAATTCTCAATTTGATCAAGAAGTTCCATTCAGTCAATTCACAATATGTTGAGCGATTTTTGTTTGAGACAAGCAAATCCCTATGAACAATTGATGTCAATAATACCAGTAAGCACCTTCCCCATCAAAACTAATTAGTAATGCTGCACATGGAGGAAGAAATGTTCAACCAAGCCATTGCTGAGCACGACGATCTCCACTACCTCCAACAGCACGCCTAATGCTGATCTTCTCAGTAGCATATTTTTGCTGAAGCCACTCAAAAGCATTCACATCAAGTTTCCCAGACACAGATTTCCCTTGCTTTCTACGAGTTTGCTGTTCTCGAATGGAAGCCCAAAGTTTCGTAATGGCCTCCCTCTGTCTAGATGTGAACCTTGACACATTATCAAAGGCATGTTTTACTAATATGTCTATGACTGTCTGACACCTGCAAATAAGTTTCCGCTTTAAAAATATGGTCGATATTGAATCACAAGCAAAAAGGAAACACGTTTCTTGACACAGCCCAAAGAAATTACCATGGAGTTTTGTACCGCCGCGCAGCAATCTCTAAACAGACAATCAAGGCTTCTCTCTGCGACTTGAGAAATCTCTTATGTTCGTCCTCTCCTTCCCTCCTGATCTTGGCTGCCATATCTTTCTTTCCCTTTGAATTTTCGTCTTTCTTCGCTTTACTCAGGATAAGCGCATCAAGCCCAAATGGGTCAAGCTCTTCCCCGTTATTGGCTCCCAAATGATTATCGGGAGGCAGCTCCTGATTCCCTGTCGGATTAGTTGATTCTTTCTCAGCTTCCAGAGCTGCAGCTTCATCTATGTCATCAGCCTCAGTAGCAACTGGTAGATTGGATATGGTGTCTTTTATTCTTCCAGCAGTTTTCGAGAACTTATGGTATGTCCCAAGAAAGAAGGCGGCCATACGAACAAGATAAGATAGTCCATCAGTTTCAACCAAAAACAGACGAAATGGTTTGTCTAAAAGAATGATTCTTTCACCAACAGTAAGGACATTATCCTTCCAGTGAGAAATTATAAATTTGTGCGTACGGATTTTCAAAGTTGCAACACTGTATCGAGAGAAAAGAATATTCAGGTGTCCTACGCAAAGTGTATGATTACCAGTAAATGCTCTTGAATAACTAAAAAGGAGACCATTTAAGATAGGAAACAAGACCACTGGGGTAAAATCATATTACAGCACACTGTGGAACCATACAAGAAAAGTGCAGTGTAATTGCAATTGAACTGAATGCAGCATTCTAATGTTAGAATTTCTTTCTTATTGGTGAAAACTCTGTTAGCAATATACGGCATAAAATTTATACGATGTGGGATACGGACGGGCATATACTGTCAATTTTCTCAAAAGCAAGTGGAAAGAATCTGGAGTTACTTTCATTATATATAAAAATGATATTACCATGAGTTAATACCAATTCTATTATGATGAGAAAAACTTAAATACGGAAAGAGGATTAATCAAATTACAAGATGCTGTAAGAATAATCTAATAATTGAATTATATTGCTACTTACTGCTATCCAATGAGATATCAAAAGAGAATTATATTTATGTGTTAATATATCATATTTTGATATACAAATGATGATGGACATGGCACATCATTAATTGACCAATGAAAATATGTTAAATTAATTGAAATGACGTTCTTTTTCCTGAGTGTAATATGGCAAGTACTTTACACATGTATACTACGTTATACTCCAAAAGAACAAGTATTTTTTCGCTGATAATAAAGGCGCGGGAGACAGAAGTTTCATTGATTATCATGTAATTTACACTAATATATGCAAAAGTACGACCTATTTTACTAACAAAGGGTGAAATGGGGTTTAAATGGGCAACCAGCGAAGCTACCAGCTCTAGGCATTACCACAATGGCGTTACCAATGATGCTAAACAAAGAAAATATTAGCACTACCATAAATTGAACTATTACCATACACAGCCAACAGAGCTGCAAGATACTTTACTATGGGAAGACCATCAAAAAGAGACTTAAAGTTATTCCCGAGAAAAACCGAAATTTAAATGGCCATCGACAGATGCTACACAATTAACAAAAACTTGCCTTAAACACAGTGACAAATAATGATGCAAGCATGAACTTTGAACTAGAATGAGATAAATCCATAGGCAAAGACAAAAGTTGTACCACGAAGCTGTCATCAGTGAACAGATCATTTGCCACCACTGCCTGAATTGTCCATGTAGTCAACTGATTTTTTTGCTTATCACTTAAATGCTGGAAGAAAACAATAAGGTAGTAGCATCTTTAGGGATTTTTTGTCATAATAACCCTGAGATATCAAACTTCATTAATAATAGGAGCCATGTTTATACCTCAGCTGCATCTTGTGCCGCAGAGAACAATGCATGATAATCTGCCCGCACTGATTGATCAGTACAAGCTGTCGGCGAAGACATTGCAGCTTCGAGTATGGCAAAGAAGTAATCCCTTGTCCCGGGCTTCACACTCCCCGCCTGTATTAACTGTATGGCAAGCTTCGACGCCTTGCCGAGCTTTGTGGGATTTCGGATGTGAGATGCTATTTTCTTCATAGCATCTATGACTTGAGCTTCCGAGGCATCCGTATGCGTCTTGAACCTCAAACGTTTCGCCGACTCGGCACCTAAACATGAACAACGAGTCATTCAGATCGATCCATGAAAACACGAACACCATTGTCACCACAAGAACAGATTTTCTCACGAGAAATAACTCCAGAGTTTGAAGTCCTCCACAATGCTTGTACTTTGAACAAACACAAAAGTTCTTTCAGCTGCTAAGCCTGGCAAATCGATGGGACTAACGCCAGCATAAGTCAAAATGAACAATTCCAGTCGTCTGACAGGTCCCACTAGAGAAACAACCCCGCAACCCTCGAAACGAGAGAGACCCATCAAGGATCAAACTCAAATGGAGCACTTACAACACATCAACGACAGAATGACGAAACTTAGAGCACTAAACGAGCAATACCCATTAAAAAAGAACAACAGATAACACCGACCCTTTGCAGGAAACGAGCTATGCAGTTCTGCGAACGCAGAATTTCGAGTACCTGGAGGGTTGGTGGGCTCATCGGACTTGGGGCGCTTGAGGGCGCTCTTGAGAGCAGGAGGCGGAGGCGGAGGCGGAGGTGGTGGAACAGGGGATGGGGCGGTGTCCTTCTTGCGAGAAGAAGAGGAGGGAATCTGAAAGAGAACGCCTCGCGCTCCTCCTCCTCCTCCTCCTCCTCCTCCTCCTTCTCCTCCTTGCTGTTGTTCTTGCTCTCGAGCCTGGGCTTCTTGTGGGTTTGAAGAAGGTGGCGGCAGCCCTTCGAACAGATCTTCCACCATCTCTCTGCTCTGCTCTCTCTCTCTCTCTCTCTCTCCGATTGTCCTCTGCATCAGCAGCAGTTCGACAGAAAGATTGAGAGCTTCGTTTTTCGTAGGATCCGGTTCGGGTCAACACCCTTTTTTTACATTTTGGGTCGGGCCGACAGACCAAGCCCGAAAGAGACGGCCCGGGCCCGGGATTTCAATCGAGGCTCGGTCCACCCGACCCGTTTTCGGCGGGCCGGGTGATCGGATAAGATCCGATCGACTTGGTTTTTTTGGGTCGAACCGTGGCCCAATTGAATCTTTTGGTGTCTCAATTTGGACAAGAATTATTTTCTTTGGCAGAAAGTTGGACGAGAATTAAGCTTGAAAAAATAAAGACAGGAACCCCCAATAGTACTCTTTCTTAATATAATGGGATAATTGCATTTGAAGTCCTAAAACTTGTCATGAAAGTGCAATTGAGTCCTAAAATTATCAAAAAGTACAATCGAGTTTTAAAATCTTTGAAAATTTTAGGATACGATTGTACTTTCGTAACAACTTTTAGGACGTGATTGTAATTTTTTAAAATTTTAGGACTCGATTGCACTTTCATGACAATCTTTAGGATGTGATTGCATTTTTTGAAAGTTTTATGACTCGATTGCACTTTGCGATAGTTTTAGGATTCAATTGCACTTTCATAATACGTTTTAGGACTTCAGGCACAGCCATCCCCAAAATAATTTATTTGGCCGAAAGTTGGACGAGAATTAAGCTTGATAAAATAAAGATAGGAACCCTAATAATACTCTTTCTTAATATAATTTATCCATTGATGGATTTGACAAGGCTATATTGGAACCAATCACTTCATACACAGCCCCTGGTTGTTTAGACATTTGGTGTGATTTTCCGAGTTCGCGTAAGTCTTAATTAAATTATCAATGTATTTGGCATCGCTCAGCATGAGAAATAAGTAATCCGATCCATGGTACTCCACAAATGCGCCAGAAGACGATTTCATGCTCTAATTAATCGCCACGATTTTCCCTTGAGCTCTTGTTTCAAATGACGACGGGGCGGGTTCATCTATTTTAGAAAGTTTTGGAGGGAGAATCACTAAGTAAGAATTAGAACTTTAATCGGTACGTATCACATAAAAGAAAGTGAGTATATTCATCCGCACCTCGGTCTAAAACTCATCACAGATTTGACTTTTTTTTGGGT